TAAATAGAAAAAAATAAAGCTTCAAAAAAATATTTTTCTACATGTAGGATTCCATATAATGTAAACATCAGATTTTACTTTTTCATTTCTCCTAGTGATGTCACCTAAGTTGTCTCAACTCCTTACTGTCAGACACCCCTCTCTCACATACACAAAAGAACAGAAAAGTGAAAAAGAAAACTTTAAAATATATTTGGGCTGGGGTTGTGACTCAGTGGAACAGTGCTCGTCTAGCATGTGTGAGGTGCTGGGTTCGATCCTCAGCACCACAGAAAAATAAATAAAAAATACTGTGTCCATCGACAACTAAAAATATTTACCCCCCCACCCCCACCCAACACAATACATTGCTGAAGGGCCCACATGAGAATTTTTCTAGAATACACGCCCAGTTGGCATAAAGCAAGACAGACCAAGGGAACAGAATAGAAGGTTCAGGGAAATACCCACAGCTGTATGGCCACTCGACTGCCACCCAGGTGTCTCTGATTTAGTGGGAAAGATGGTGCTGACCTCAAATTGAAGACTGACTGGTCGACTGGATATCCACACCGGGCGAGGGGGAAGGCTTTCTCTCCTCTTGATTCAAATCAGACTCCAAGATAAAAGGCGAGATCAATATGGCTTTTAGGAAGAAAATATACAAAACATGATCTTAGAACACATGGGCCACGCCAGCCAGGACCTGAACAGCAGCTCCTCTGAGGCAGCAAATATATCATTAACCGGAAACAAAACACAGTAACCAGGCAGACTTCTGGGAGTGAGACCCGGGTGTGGGATGTCCACTTGTTTATTCCACACAGAAATTCCAGATTGTTCTGCAGAAGCCAGGCTCCTTACATTCCTGTAGCAGGGCTCCAGGGTTCCCCTGCGTACGCTCTGGCCATAGTGAGTGTTGTCCAACCTGCTAGTTCTGCTGAGCTGATGGGTTCAAAGTGGCCTCTCCAGGCCTTAAAACGAGCATTTGTCTCATAATTAATGAGATGGGGCTTTGTGAGCATTTGGATGTTTCCAGAAGCGTATCATCTATTTTTTGACCATTTAAATTGGATTTCCTTTCTTCGGCTGTTCTGTTTTTGTTTTTGTAATAACCCCTGGTTCAGTTTCAGGGTCAGGTCTGAGACTGCCAACCTGTTCTTTCAGCACACCCAAGAGCAGATAAAGCTGTGGCCACGGCTGGACTGATTTGGTCAGCGAAGGTACCATGAGCCACTGTCCGATTCAGTTTATGACTTAATAGACCATGAAAGGAAGATTAGCCGCCGCTGCCAGCTACTCATGGTCCTGGTCCCATCCCCCAAACCACAGAAGACCCTACTGCTGTGCTGTGGGGTCTTACCCCCAGGCTCTCTTCCGAGGGGCAGGAAAAGCCTCCTGCTCTTTAGAACCAGGAGGTGACAACTGACTTCAGGGGAGACAGGAGGTGACTGGGAGATGGCCTCCCAGGCCTCCAGGTCTCTTATGTTCCAGGAGGAGCACAGGGCCACATGCCCTGCCTCAGAGAAGCTGCTGTTCAGGCCTTGGCTGGTGTGGCCCGTGTGTTCCCAGGCAGGGTCGCCAGGGTGTCCTTGTGGAGTCATTCCCCTGACTGTTCGTCCACAATGACCATGTTGGAAAAACACATTTTTGTTTTTCAAATTGAAGCCATCTGTGCCCCTGTTCTGTCTGGGCTCCGAGCACCCAAGCCACCCCCTTGCCGTCTGTAACACAGCTTTGCTATTCTGATCACTTTTTTTTTTTCTGGGAGTTTTCTTATCCAGGGAAATGGTTTGATTGTCCATTTTTGAAGCAAGAGATTTTGGCACTGCACTCTGAGATAGGACGGTGGATCACGATCCTTACCCAGGCTGAATCCAGTCCTGCCTCAAACCAGACTCCTCAATAACTCCTGGCCATGCAGTCTCCCTCTGGGACGCCCTGAAGTGTCACCTCCGTGACAGCTCTGCTGGGGCTACGTTCTCTGGAAAGCCTGCATTCGACGATATGATTAAATCCATTCATTTTCCCTTTTTGATTGATATTGCTGGGATCTTATTGAAGGTGTTCTTCCCCCATCTGAAGCACAATGGTATTTGGATTCTGTCTTTTAGACAGTGTCTGAAGATATTCTCACACACCGTCTAATAACTTCAGGGTTTTGACATTCACAAACACGACACAGCAAAGAGGTGGGTCCCTTATAGGGGGTGGGATGGGGTGGGCAGGGCGTGGTCTGAGTCATCTCTGTCACCTGGCCCAGTGCTGTTCAAAGTGACAGCCACTGACCACAGAGCTTTTGCATTTCATGAAAATCAACAGAAGATCAAAATCCAGCTCTGTGTTCCCCCTCACCCCATGACAGCCCTGACACTGCCTGTGGCTGCTGCTTGGACAGGGAGCTAGAGGACAGTCTCGTCACCTCGGGGAGCAATGTCACCCGCTGACTTTAGAGACTTCTGCTCAATATAACTGGTCAGCTAACAACGCTTTCAGTTCCTTGTAAATTTAGCTTGTAAATGATTAAAGCTTTCATTATACAACTTACTTTCACACCCGAGTTTATATTATAAACTTATATACGTTCACACTTTGCTTATATTACAGTTTCCACATAATTAAAGCAGATTGTCCTCTTAAAGGGAAAAATGCTTTTTTAAAAAAATTTTTAAGTTTTCTTTCTCAAAAGAAAGGGCTTTTTTTTTTTTTTTTTTTTTTTTTTTGGTGCCTCAAGTTCTTTTTCTCTTTCCCTGAGTCTCTCCTGCTTTATCCCTGAGCCTGATGCAGTCCATTTGGATGAATGATGGGGAGCATCAGGGTGGAGAAAGTTTCTCTACCTCTCTACCTCTTAGGTTGGTGTCTGAGGGTCTGTGAATTAAAGTAGCAACAGACAAATCAACAGGAGAAAAGGATAACAATTTTATTTCATATTTTATGTGTATGGGAGTTCACAGGAAAGAAGTAGAACTCAAAAAAAAAAAAAGAAAAGAAAAGAAAAGCAGACTCAGGGACTTATATATGATTTATTTATTTATTTATTTTTGATACTGGGGATTGAACCCAGAGGACTTTGGCATGGATCTACATCCCCAGTCCTTCTTATTTATTTATTTGTTATATGAAATTGCTGAGGCTGGCCTCAAATTTGTAATCCTCCTGCCTTAGCCTGGGACTACAGGAGTGAGCCACCGTACGGGCTTACATGCTGTCTTCACAGTGGAAGGGGGCTTGGGCTTTGAGTCTTTGGAAGTGATTGGGAAAGCTATGGACGGGGAAGAGCTATTGTGTTAAGTTCTCTTTATGCAAACTTATCTGGGTCAATGCTCTCTCCAGGGGTGAGTGTCCTCTCTCTCTGGTAAGGGGGGTGTTATGAGGATCTGGATTGTTCCCCATAGGTTCACATGTTGAAGGCTTGGTCCCAACACAGCCACGTTTAGAGGTGGGGTTGGGGGAAGTGACTGGATCATGGGGGCTCTGACTTCCTTCCTCGGTGGATTAATAATTTGAGGGCATTAATTGGGAGCTGTAGGAAGTGGGCCTTAAGAGGAAGTATGTCCTTGGAGGTGTGCCCCTGGACTCCTCCTCTCACTCTGCTTCCCAGAGGCCAGGAGCCCATCAGCTCCCCCTCCCCCATGCCCTCCCCCCATGATGCTCCGCGCCCCCCCCTTCAGAACCAAAGAGATGGCGCCATTGACCATGAACCTCTGAAACCAAGAGCCAAGATAAATCTTTCCTCCAAAACAAGGGGACACCTTGACAAAGGGGATTTGATGCCCTGCTCCTAGGCAGCTAAAGGGAGGGCCGAGAACAATTCCTGCAGCTGTCGATTTTTAATTGCCTTCAGTTACCAGGAATCCCATGTGTCAAAAGGGCATATTTTGAGGTACCATATTTGGGGTGGAAGGGGGCTGCTTGGTAGAGGGCAAAATGCTGGGTGTGGGTTCAAAGATGAGATTCAAAGATCCAGCTGAGCTGTAAGATCACTGCCCTGCTCTAAGCTCAGCCTCCACAGCAAGAGGGAAGAGGCTGGAGAGGGGCCCTGAGGACCCTTCACCAAGAGCAGTTAATCCATGCGGGATTAGCATTCCACATGAATTTGGGGGGAACTACATTCAGACCATCGTGGAGCCCTTATTGACACCTGTCTGGACGCAGGGTCATCCACTTTATACTCTGGACTATAATCCAATATTACTTCCTCCTGTGGCTGCATAGTTCCAAGTTGGGCCTCACTTTTTCCTTCATGCATTTATTTATTTATTTTGGTACTGGGGAATGAGCCCAGGGGCCCTTAACCACTGAGCGACTTTCCTAGCCCTTTTATATATTTTTTTGAGAGACAGGGTCTCACTGAGTTGCTTAGGGCTTCACTAAGTCGCTGAGGCTGGCTTTGAATTTGCCATCCTCCTGCCTCAGCCTCCTGGCCACTCAGGTATTTACCAGACCAACACTGTTTGAGATGGTCCTGAGCCTCCTGCCTGCTCTCTTCCTGCAAGGGACCCAGGCCCTTGTCTGACGATCCTTTCTCGGTGTCCCTTTCCTCCCAGCTCCCTGCCCCCCCACTTCCCGGGGACCATACTTACACCTCCTGGAATGGAAGTCTGTACCTCCCAAAACTTACCAAGGTGAAGACACACCATTACCCCACTGTGCCTGGGATGAGGTCACCATATTGCTCTGGGGAAATGACAGGACTATGGGCATGGCTCCAAGGGCCCTGACCAGTTACAGGGAACACAGAGAGAGAGAGACAGGAGGAAGTGTCTCTTAATTCACAGTTTTCTCAGCCTTCTCAGACCTCCTTCCAGCCAGAGCGCAGGGGCGAGAGGGAGTGGAGGGTGTGGAGCCGGCAGGCACAAGAAGTTGGGTCACAAGAGGGCGGATCCTCAGGGGCAGGACAGAGGTATGGAGGCCCAGAGACAGACTCTGCCGTTGGTGGCCCCCAATCCAGGCTAGGCCCCTGTGCCCACAGAACCCGCCTTCCCAGGCCAATAACTTCCCCAATCAAGGCACTGACCTTTTCAGTGTGTCCAGCCCAGAGATGCTGAGCAGGGTCAGCTTTAACTTCTGACTCCCTCTCCGCAGAGGCCTCCCGATTCTCTTCTCCTCCACCAACAGGGACAGGGTGGGTGGCATGGCCTGGGAAGGCCTGCGCCTGCTCATGCACCCTGTGGCCCTGGTGCTGCTGGTCCCAGGTGAGGTGGGAGGTGGTGAGCAAAGGACAAGGGTGGGGCCGGGAGCAGGCTGGCTCTGTGACCACAGGACTGGCTCTGGGGACATGCTCTGAGTGCAGATGTCCTTTCCTCTCCCCTTTCCCGGGCCGCGGCATGAGTGGGGGGGTCTGGCCAGGGACCTGACGAAGGTCTCCTCCTCTAGGCTCCTGGGGACTGACGGTCACACCTGAGGAGCTCCGTGAAGTGGTGGGAGGGACCCTGGTGGTGCAGTGCCGCTCCTCGCCCCAGGAAGGGCCCTACGTGCAGAAGACCTGGTGTCGGCAGAGGTCTCCTGGCAGGTGCACCAGGCTGGTCACCACCTCCCAGCCTCTGACAGCAGTTGAGAAGGCTCAGCACACAATCTGGGACCACCCCGAGGCTGGCTTCTTCATCGTCACCATGACTCAGTTGAGGGAGGAAGACTGGGGCGTCTACTTGTGTGGAAGCTTCAACTCGTCCCAGAACCTGATCGACACCTTCAGGAACATCACCCTGGTGGTGTCCCCAGGTGAGCCCTTTTCTCCAGGAAACGCCCCCTCCCCCGGGGACCTGGGGGGAAGGTTTCTAACCCCTGTCCCATGCCTCTGTCGCCCCCATTTCTGACAGGCCTTCTGCTCTGCTCTGGGGGAGCAAGGAGCCCTGTCCCCAGAGCTGGGTTTGCATCTCTGGTCTCCCTGCCAGTCCTGGACCCAGCTGGGGGAAGGCACGTCCAGGGCTTGAGCGACAGGAGCCTGGGGTGTCTTCCTGACTCTCTTACACAGGCACATCAACAGCTGGGGTGGGCAGACCTGAGTGCAGGCCACTGCTGGCCTAAGGGGTCCCAAAGAACCATCTCTGGGCCCCTCGTTCCCCTCAACAGCTTGAGGCCAGAACTCACTTCCCTTCTGGGCACGCTGACCTCTACCTTTTCTTTCTCCGTCTCCTCTGCGGGGACTGTACCCTGGCTCCCAACAATGACAGGAAGGTGTGGGGTCTCAGCCAGGGGAAGGAAGAGGGATGACCAGGCAACTTAGAGAGCCTCCAATTCAGGGAAGGAGGGAGCAGGCAGGTGCTCCACCCTCCGGGGGGTCTGGGCTGGTGGATTCAGGGATTAAGACACAGGGATATCAACTCGCACTAGCTGACCCACTCATGGAAATAGCCGTGTTCTTCCACGACGGATTGGGTGCCCCCTGAGAGAGTTCTGCCCTGGGAGACCTGCACCTGTGTGTCCCAGCCCCGGCCCTCACTTCCCACCAGCCTGTGGAGAGACTCTTCCCCTTTGGATTTGACTTCAGTGGTTTTAAAGATTTTAGGATCTGTTCACATAGACATTTTTCCCCCCTCAAGGAAGAAATAAATGGCCAAAAAAAAAAAAAAGAAAAAAATACTCAGCATTGTGATCATTAGGATAATGCAAATTAAAATTGTAATGAGATATCACCTCTCTGTCCAGTAAGAATGACTGTTATCAAAACAAGTGCTACTGAGGATGTGGAGAAAAGGGACCCCCTGCACAGCACTGGGGGGGGGGGTGTAAATTAGTACAGCTGTTGTAGAAAATAGTATGAAGCTTCCTTTAAAAATTAAAAAATAGAACTTCCGGGCCGGGGAAATTCAAGTGGTAGAGTGCTTGCCTAGCACCTGGGAGGCACTGGGTTCAATAGTCAGCACCACATAAAAATAAAATAAAGATATTGTATCCACCTAAAACTAAAAAATAAATTAAAAAATAGAACTTCCATACAGTCCAGCAATCCCACTACTTGCTATATATGCAAAGGAAATGAAATCAGTCTTTCAAAGAAACATCTGAACTCCCATGTTTACTGCAGCACTATTCAAAATAGCTAAGAAATGGAAACAAACTAAGGGTCTATTAACTGATGATTGGATAAAGACAATGTGGTACATATACATAATGAAATACTATTTGGCCAAGAAAAGGACGAAATCCTGTCATTTGCAATGTGGATGTAACTGGAGGCTATTATTTTAAGTGAAATAATCCAGGCAGAGGGAGACAAGTACTATATGATCTCATTCATATGTGGATTATTAAAAAGTTCATCTGATGGAAGTTGAGAGAGAGGTGGTTCCCAGAGGCTGGAGAGACTATGGGGAAGGAGGGTGGGAGAACTCTGACTAATGGATATCAAGTTATAGTTAGGAGAACGAAGTTTTGGTGTTCTATTACACAACAGGGTGACAGTAGACAATGATAATGCACTGTTTTAAAACAAAGTTAGAGGAAAGGATTTTGAATGTTTTCACTATAAAGAAATGATAAGCGTCTGAGGAGTAGACTTGATTTTGTACACATGTATTGAAACATCACGAGGCACTCCATAAATTTGTACGTTTTAAATGTCAATTAAAAAAAAAAAATCTCAGGCCCAGTTACTCCTGCCCTGAGGGACCCTGAGAAGCTGGTTCTGTCCCTTCTCTGCGTCCTCTGACGGTTCTTAGGATGTCATCTCACCCACAATCCTGGTCCTCTGAGAAGACACCATCTTCTTTGTGTCCTCCTTAGCTCTGATCACTTCTCCGGAGGGAACCCCCAGCCCTTCCGTCAACGGCTCTGAGCAGGGGTAAGTCCGGGGTCTCCCTGGGAGGGAAAGTCCTGGGAAAAGATGACCAGGGAGCGAGCTCTTGTGTCTTTGGAACCAGGGAGAGGAGACCCAAGAATTCTCCTCCTGCAGAGGAGTTCCCGAGACCCAGATGCCCCGTTGGTAGAGAGGAATGGAGAGAAGGAGGCAGGTCATTAACTTTGGGGAAACTGCAGAAATGACAGTTAAACATGGATTTCTGGAACGAGATAAAATGAACCCCTCAAAGCGGGAACTGGAGGCTGTGTTGGTGTGTGTCGATGGTGGATATGGACAGTGGCTACATCCTGGGGGCAGTGGTGGCTAGACAAATCAGCTAGCAAAAGGTGAAAAGATCATTTTAAAATTCTGCTCTTGACCCTTGCCATGGGCGTCCCTTCACTGAGATATAGGCTGTCACAGCCTAGGTCTCAGGTGCCCTGGGGGACCTTGAGGCACAGCAAAAGCATAAGAGATTGATGGAAATAATCAATCACCTGTAAACACTGACTCCCTAGCCCTCCCCTCCTCCTCCAAACTCCAAGACAGAAGGATAATGAATTAAGATGCATTGCCTAGCGAGTTCAAAGGTGAAACCCTAACCAGAGGGCGAGAATAGCAGCAAACGGGGGTGCCCGAGGCCCTGTGTTCTGGGGCTTAACTCGCGAACTTTTGAAACTCACCAGGCTAAAGGATTTAGCTTTCAGTTCTCTGCCAGGCTGAATATCTGAGAACCCCCAAAGAATCTGAATTCACAAGCCCAAATAATTTGTCAGTTTAGAACTTCTACTTTACAAGAGGGCTAACACACCCAACAATAAAAACCCATCCAAAGCACAACTGCAGGAACCAACAATTCAACGGCTCTCAGTAAATATGATCAGTCCACCTCAGGGGGTAGGGGAAGACATAAACTGCAAATCAAGAACAAGAGCCATCAAAAAAAGCTAAATGGCAATACTATTCTGGAGAGTGAGTTGGAATTGGGGTTGAGTTGGAGTTGGAGAAAAGTTGAGGAATTTTCACAGAAAGTTTTTGGAAAAGATGGGAAGATTTAAAAAAAAAATAATCAAAGGGAAGTTAAGAGACATGAAGGAGAAAAATAGACGTACTAACATGTAGGCATTAAGCACTGTGAGTAGTGTCTAAGAGTAACACAATAAAAAGTAGATCTGTGAGTAAGACAAGATGGAAAGGGAGAAATATTTGAAGAAAGAATGAATATAAATTGCTCAGAATCATAGAAAAAAGAGAGATCTGAGATTGAAAGTAGGAGACATGCTCACAGACAGACACACACCTCTGGATGCATTATGTGAAATGGGAGAGCATCAAAACCAGAAAATTCTGAAGGCGTTCAGATCACCGACAAAGGAACAAGTATTAGATTCACACCAGACCTCCTAAGAGGAAAACTGGATGTAAGGAGACCATTGAGTAATGTTTTTTAAATATCGAAGAAAGAACATTGGATTTAGGATTTTGCATCCAGCCCAACCGTCATTCCAGTGTGAAGTCAGAAACTTTGGGACTTCCACCATCTGCAGAGGTTTGCCACACACAAAGATCCCCACTGAAAACGCTCTCGGAGGAAGTACTCTAAAATTTAGACAAGAACCCAAATCCAGAGATGCCGCAAGAGGTGAGGAAGTGTGACCAAGCACGTTGGTAAAGTTCCTTCCTTCCCTCCCTGCCTCCTTTCTCACTCTTAAAGTAAAGGCAACGAGAACCAAAATAAAGAGGAAGGGAAACTACATCTGTGACAACTAAAAATACTATTCCTGACAAGGCTGACATGGGGTGAGGCAGAGAGACCAGGAGGCCCCTGGGGGACGTTACCTACTTATCTCAGGAGAGGCAAAATGTAGAGATAGTCACAAGTTCAAGGTTGCAATCGGAGAATGTTGACCCTTCCAACCAGCAAAATGACACTCCATCCAAAGGAAAGTAGAAAATCAACTTAAAAAAAAAAATCACACTAAATGGAAAAACAATGAAATAAGAAGGCAGAAATATGTTCTAATATAAATGTAAGTGGGTTAAACTTACTAAATAAGGACACAGACTGTCAGGCTCTTGAATTTAAAAAAAAAATCCCACCAATATATTATCTGTAAGACATATACTTACAAAAGAAAAGATTCTAAAAGCTTTTAAAAAGTTGGCTTACATGAAATAAAATATTGTGGTAATCTTAATATTAATTATAATATTAATATTAATGAAAATAGAATTTAAAGTAAAATATTACGATACAAAGATATATAGCATATACTTATTACTATATATTACTATATATACATATAACATTTCTGAACATATGATAAAAGATAAAAATAAACAACAAAGAGAAGAAAAAAGAAAATAACTACACAGTCTACAAAGATATTTTAACGAATAAATTCTTGTTTGAAATCCTAGGAGCAGACAGATTTCTAAGTTATAATAGTCTAAGGGTAACACAATAAAAAGTAGATTTGAGTAGATTAGCGCATATGAAAAAAATCTGAAACGTTAGATAAATAGTCTTCAAAGAAAATTTGAGATGATTTTGTAGATATCACCAGACTTTTAAGAAACACTTGATTTATATTTTATACAAGATGTTGCAGAAAATAGAAAAGAAGCCAAGCCTGCTCAGAACATTTGAAGATGCTAGTGTCATCTTAATATTAAAACTGGTTACAGGAAATAGAAGAAATCAAACTATCTGTTCACCATGAACATAAAATCAAAATCAAGATAATCATTGCTGAGTGAATTCAATAGTGTAACGAAAAAGAATATGTAGATTATGATCAGGTGGGGTTTATTCCAGGACTGAAAGGATTGTTCAACTTTAGAAAATCTATCAATGTAAATGAACCAAATTAGTAAACTCTAGGGAAAAGATCAACTAATGTTGAAAAGGCCTTAGGAAAGGTTCAACATATTCTTTTTTTGGAGGCGGGTACTGGGGACTGAACTTAGGGGCACTCAAACACTGAACCACAGCCCCAGCCTTATTTTGCATTTTATTTAGAGACAGGGTCTCACTGAGTTGCTTAGCACCTTGCCTTTGCTGAGGCTGGCTTTGAACCTGCGATCCTCCTGCCTCAGCCTCCGAGCCGATGGGATTACAGGTGTGTGTCACTGTGCCAGGCTGAAAAGGTTCAACATATTCTTGAGGAAAACTCTTAATTAAATAGAAATAGGAAGATAAAACTTGGTCGTTGTATTTTATGACTATAATAAATGTTGCTGAGTAGAGAAAGTATAAATGCAAATAAAGGATTTTTATAGATGCCACTAATGTTTAGTATAGTATTAGAGGTCCTGGCCACTGCTCCCAGGAAAGGAGAATAGGTAAGAGGAAAGAAGATTAGAGAAGTGTCAAAACTGTCAAATATGCAGATAGATGATGAAATCGTCTAACCTAGAAATAGGGAGAATCAATAAACTATTAGATTTCATGAAAGAGGCTGCCAGACGTAAGACCAACTGACCCAAATCAAAAGTAATTCTAAGAAAAAAAAAATCTTTGAAAAATCTAATCAAAATAAGATGGCTGGTGCCGTGATGCATACCATAATCCCAGCTGTTTGGAAGGCCAAGGCAGGAGCATCACAGGTTAAAAGCCAGCCTCAGCAATTTAATGAGGCCCTAAGCTACTTAGAGAGACCCTATCTCAAAATTTAAAAAAAAGGGGGGGGGTGCCCGCTGAGGATGTAGCTCAGTGGTTAAGCACCCTTGGGTTCAATCCCTGGTACCAAAAAAAAAAAAAAAAAAAAAGATTCTATTCATTTCAGAAATAAAACCTTTAAACTTTCTATAGAGAATTAATTTAACCAAAGTCTCTTTGGGGAACAATCTTTGATTGCTAATAAATGATGTGAGTGATCTGAGTGAAGAGAAATAATACATGATCTTGAGTGAGACAATAATATTAAAAGATTTCAATTTCTTTCAAATTAAAAATGTCCATAAGTGTGACTCCAAACTCAACTTTAGTTTAATTTTTAAAAAGAACTTGATAAATTTTCTCTAAAATTATACAGAAACATAAAGATACAGGACTTGCTAAGTCTACCATGAAAATGCAAAAATGGAGAACAGGCTCTATCCTGCAAAATATAGTGATACTATTAATAGCAGCACAGTGCTTGGATCAGAACTGATAAATGGCTAAAGAATTCCAGACAGATCTGCCTATATAAAGGGAACATACTTAAAATAAGGAGGTGACACAAACCAATGGAGCAAAGGGCCCATTATTTGGAAAACATCCTTGAAATAACTGGCACAATCTATTTAAAAATGAAAAAAATGAACAAAAAGGTAGATTCCTACCCATATCAAAGACGAACTCTGGATGGATTCCAGTTGCATATACATGAAAAGTGAAATGATTGAGTTAATAGAAAAAAAATACTGCAGATGAATATTTGGGTGATCTAGAGGTGAGGAAGGACTTCTATACAAAGCTTTAAATCACTACCCGATATATACATGAATCAAAACATCACATTGTACTTCATAAATGTGTACAACTATTACATGTCAATCAAAAAATAAAAATAAAAAATTGGGATCTAGGAAAAAAAATTAAAAGCACAAACTATAAGGCAAAAATGAGGAATCAATTATTCAATGGAAAAACATCATGAGAAAAGTTCTCAAGCAGATAACAGACTGGGAAAAACATTAATTAAAAATGTCTCAAACGAATGTGGTAATAGTGTCTAAAATATACAAAGAGCTGGTACTGACCCACAGGGAAAAGACGGGCATCTCCAAGGAAAATGGCTAAGCATTAAAGGCATTTGTTAAAGAGGGAAGGGCAGTAGGCATACAGTGATGTCCACACTTGTGAAAACATTCAAGAAACGTCAACCAGAACTTGCCATCTTGCACCTTTCAACTGGCAAAGTAAGGACCCTGTGAAATACTGGGTGTTGCAAGAGATGTGGCCCCAGGGAGGCTGAGGCCGTGCTGTGAAGCGAAGCAGAAGTGCTCCTGTCTCCCAGGCAGCCCCACCCAGGCC